TTAGGCTGTAGAACCATTTTTTTTTTTACTTGTGTGCATATAAAGTAACAGGCACAGAAATGTATACATAGAAGCACATATTCATTCTTAAAGAGCCTACCACGGCTCACATATCTATCTTTCTCAACTCTATCTAATTATCATTGGAGTAAGCTCTCTTATCTTTTAATTTCCTCTGGACTATCATATTCATTATTTCAGAAATTTTTTACCATGAGCTTTTCTGAATTAAGTATCAGAGACAGTTTCTCCAAAGTAATCATCACTGTTTATTCTATATTGTTGATATGAGACAAAGAAGAAAAGATATTCGGTTACTTACCTGCGGAGCATAAAGCCCTTGGAGTCAGAGACTGACACTGACCTTTAGTCTTCCTCATCTTTCCATCCTTACTCCCCTTCTCCAATTTCTCAGTAATCTTGTATAAATCTGACAAATTGTTTGCTAATTTCTGAATGCCCTGGCACAGAGAAATTAGGTAAAAGAAAAAAAAAGGGTCAAGTGAGATTTTTAAAGGCCGGATTTGTCTGAACTAATTATTTTATTTTGCTGTGAGTTAGACTATACTGCTGCATTAACAGTCCCCTTATTCAGGAGTAGTTTATCAGCGCTGCCTCTCTCCGCACAGAGAATGATTACAGGTGAATCTCCACATGGGTAATTCAGACTGGAGCTCACTTATCAGACCACTTCTGTTCAAATCAGAACTAAAAATACTTTGGGGGCCCCATAAATGTTAAATAGCACAAAGAATAATAACAACTAACCTCTTCTTAGTACATGTGTTCTTGAGTACACATACTTAAATTCTTCCCAATTATAATTCAAGAACATTTCAGTTCCCTTTATTCAGGACCATTATTCAGGCTCTTCTGGAAATGTTTTATTCAGGTTGCACATCTTTCCTCTGCAGTCTCTGATTTAGAATTCAGCTCTCTGATAATGAGTGGAAATTGGGGTCTGAAAGAGAAAAACATCATTTTCTTAAATAATGCTACAGGCATACATTGTCTTAATCTGGGAAAAAAATGAAATCCTAAATATTTTTTTTCTAAACTGTTAAAATGCTTGAGCTTTGAAAACAGAGGGGGGAAAAACAAATTACAATACAATTCAACTCTGTTTTTAAATATTTGTGATCACATCTGTGACATTACAGCATAATCATAGGAGTAACGTGAAAAAAAAGTCCTGAAAGCAGTTTAGTGGTGTTCTCCAGGCAAATGTGCAACCAGACTAGACATGCTTTGTGGGTATAAGTAAAAAATAGAAAAAAATCTCTTTTTTGTGTGTGATGATGATACTTGCTTTTATTGTTGTTGCTGCTGATGATAACTAAAAAGGCCTGATCTCAGTAGGACATCCGTGCTCAACCCTTTCCCTGGGCTGTAGTTTATTCTCCTGTTCACAACCTGAGGACAGTTGGGCCAGCCTCTTAAGCACTGTAAGGAGATCTGAGCAAAAACCCTTTCAAAATAAATCAGCCCTGTTGATCCCCAGCTCTGAGAGCTGGGGCAACTCATCCCAACACTTGCCTGTGTTTCACTGTGGAACAGGTTGTCTTGCTTCAGCTCTTTCATAAAACCAACCCTAACACACATCTACTTGGCCATTCTTGGCAAAAATAGAAATAAAAAACAGCCGGTCCTGGAGCATCGGAGTACTGTAAGGTCAGAGTGCTTTGAGGGTCCAGCTGAGGCAACGGGGACCTCACAGCTGAATGACTGCTTGCTAATGGCATAGTGGAAGGACACCAGGGGCCTAGGAACAAAGTCAAACAAGCATCTGAGTGAGGAAATGTGCCTACCCCACAATGACTTGCCCAGGAAATCAGGAGGCATTTAGGACCACCTTCTTTTTAAATATTTTATTTATTTATTCATGAGAGGCAGAGAGAGAGGCAGAGACACAGGCAGAGGGAGAAGCAGGCTCCATGCAAAAAAGCCTGATGTGGGACTCAATCCCAGGACCCCGGGGTCATGTCCTGAGCCCAAGGCGTCTGGACACTCAACCACTGAGCCACCCAGGCGACCCTAGAACCACCTTTTTTTTTAAAATGACCATCCTGACAAGAGCTGTGAAGTATTAAATAGGTGTATGCTATCCGTGCTTGCATTCGGATCTCCCAACTTAGTGGTGTCAGTAGAACTAATGACTGAGATAGATAAAGTGGCATACTTCCTGCATGGATTAAGATTCTGTATGAAAGCCAGAATAAAGTGCTGCACACCTGCCACAGTTGAGAAAACATAGTCATAATTCCTAAGATGCTTATCTAAACTTTCTGGTCTTAAATTCTCAAACGGATCAGCTCAGAAAGATTTCAGATATTTGGAAGTTAGAGAAAATCACAAAAACTTCTGCAGGCATATATCAGTTCCAAATCTCTTACTCAGGAGAGCATCAAAATTACATTTGCTCTGACTCCTGCATGTGTGATCTGATAAGATCACTGACATATATTAATTGCTGCAAAATGAACCAAAACAATGACCCAGAATTAATAAAGCACTGATTTAAAAATATCCCTCATTCTAATGCTCTATTGTTTAATTAGTTAAATTTAAGAATATAAACATAAACTCTACTTTGACAGGTAATATAAAAACTTGCCAATGTTTGGAATTTCCCCTTAGAATTTTAAGCTACCTTATAAACATTATGTTTTCTTCCTTTTTTTTTCTTCCATAGGAGTAAGACTGTATTTGGACTTTTTTGACAACATCTCAGCTCAGTAATTCAAAAAAAATCATCTGCTCTATTCAAGATGTTTTATTATACATTATACAGTGTAAAATGATAAATAAGACTTCAGTCTCTATTATCAAAAGATATATTCTATGAAATTTTGTAGGAAAATTACATGTTTGGAAAACACAAATATAATATAGAAAGTTAAATGCTGTAAGAGGGATACAAAAATTAGAGGAATGAAAATTTTTTAAATTATATTTTCAAAAATCGAAGATTTTATTATTAAGATAATATTGGACAAATATAAGCATTTCAACAGAAATAAAAGGTAAGGCCTTTTCAGAAAAAGAAAACACTTGAAGTAATAGTAAAATAGACATAATAGAATGAAGTTCTCTTTGTAGATAGGTTAGGGGCTCAGATTGCCTAAAACAAAGGGTACATGAAGAGAAAGTAGTTGATTAAAATGCAAAGGACAAAAAAAATAAAAAATAAAAAATAAAAAGCAAAGGACAATGGGAGTAAGATCACAGAAGCCTTTAGCCATATTAATCAGTATGAAATGTGTTCCATAAGCTGTGGAGAATTATTAAGGTGAATTTTTTACTAATTCATTTTATTACTTTATTTGGCAAGCAACACATAACATTATGGCATTAGAAAGAATATTACATGATATCTCACCACAGTTAACCTTTCAGGGTACATCATCTTAAAACATTTACAAACATGAGACTATACTAAGAATCATGTTAAGTTACTTGCTTTTTAAATTATATATGTATATATATTTAATATATAATGAAATTTCCTGCATAACACACTTTTCATATCTTTCTTTTAAATAACTCCATAAAAGTTTATTTCTTGAGTGTATCCTCATTTATATCACCATTTCTATATTTTACACATTAAATTGCTTTTTTAAAAAAATTATTCATTTATTTACTTGTTTACTTATTTATTTATTTATTTAGAGAGCAAGCACATGAACCAGGGGAGGGTCAGAGGAAGAGGGAGAGAGAACCTCAAACAGACTCCCCTCTGAGCATGAAGCCTGACATGGGGCTTGATCTCATGACTTTGAGATCATTACCTGAGCCAAAATTAAGAGTCAGATGCCTAAAACTGCCTGAGCCACCCAGCCACCCAACATTAAATTGCTTTTTATCATTATTAAAAATAAGTACAACAACAATATTTATTAACACCTACCATATGTCAGACACTGTTGTAGATGATTTTCATAAAACAGAATAAAATAGACTAATTCCAAGCTCCCACGAGACTGAACTTTTTGTTTTTTGTTTTCATGTATCAATATTTAATTCATCAAGATCTACATACAGGGTTAACAATATGTTGTAATGACACATCATCCTGTGTTGTTTTACAGTTAATATTCAAAGTTATTTCTAGTTGAACCCAATCATAATTATTGCTGTATGGAAAATAGGACCTGACCAATGTAATGGATTTTCTAGCAACAACTTTGCTTCATATGCATTTCTAAGTACTAGTTAAAAAAAAACATTATTGTCACAAAATCCTGCATTTAAAATTCCCAGATGTCATAATCCCACGTTTCTTACACTTTTATAATAAGCCATTAGGTAAAACTATAATGTCTAAACTGTTGTTTATGTTGTTTATCCTTGATATGTTTTTCCTAGTTGGGAATTTCTGATGCAAACTCTAACCTTTCATCTGATTTTAGCAATGGCATATATACAGTGTGAGAAAATTGCATGTTGACTAAGGAATTAAAAATCACTGAAGACTTCCATTCATTCTCTATTCTACAGAGTGTGAAACTTCACATGCCTACAAGTTTTTCTACTAATAAAGATTTTTTCCATGCATATTACAATGAATAAGCTCTCCAGCATTAATTTTTGCTATTCTACTAGAGTGACCACCATCTGTAATTGTGTAATTTCCCATTTTAGGGAGGTTAGATTATTCATAGTGAATATTCTTCTGCATCCTACATCCGGAGATCATCTAATGTCTCTTCCTCCTTTATTATAAATATAAGGTTCCTCCAAATGAAGTTCACTCATGTTCTGTAATGATAAATTAGAAATGAAAGCACTTCCATAATGAATTTGGCCATAGAATTTCCCCCATTTAGGAGTTCTGGGATTGGTTTGAGCTGTGGCTGAAGGCTCTTCTGTGTTCATTTACTGCATTTAGAGTTGAGTTCTTTCATGTCTTCAAAGGCAAGAGCTTGTAACAAAGGCTTTTCCACATAGAGGACATTTATATGGGTTCTCTCCAGCATGAGTTCTCTCAGTTCTCTAAGTTAGCTTAACAAAGGCTTTCCACATAGAGGACATTTATATGGGTTCTCTCCAGTATGAGTTCTCTCATGTTCTCTAAGGTTAGAACTTGTAACAAAGGCTTTCCACATAGAGGACATTTATATGGTTTCTCTCCAGTGTGGGTTCTCTCATGTTTTCTAAGACAAGAGCTTGTAACAAAGGCTTTTCCACATAGATGACATTTATATGGTTTCTCTCCAGTGTGAGTTCTCTCATGTTCTCGAAAACAAGAGCTTGTAACAAAGGCTTTTCCACATAGATGACATTTATATGGTTTCTCTCCAGTGTGGGTTCTCTCATGTTCTCTAAGATTGGAGCTTGTAACAAAGGCTTTTCCACATAGGAGACATTTATATGGTTTCTCTCCAGTGTGAGTTCTCTCGTGTTGTTTAAGATAAGAGCTTTGAACAAAGGCTTTTCCACACAGATGAGATTCATAAGGCTTCTCTCCAGAATGAATATGCTTATGTCTAGTTAAAGATGAAAAATACCTGAAATGACTCCCACACTGATTACAGACAAATGGATTCTCTCCCGTGTGAGTTATTTTATGGGAACGAAGGTGGGAGTTTCGACTGAAGTGTTTTCCACATTCATCACATTTATAGGGTTTCTCTCCCGTGTGAATTCTCTGGTGTATGCAAAGCTTTCTTCTATTATGAAAATATTTCTCACATTCCTTACATTTATAAAGTTTGCCTTCCATATAAGGTTTCTGGTGTCTATATAGGTCATTTCTATGACTGAAAGGGTTTCCACATTCACTCCATTTATAGGGTCTCTGTCCAGTGTGAGTTAAAACATGCTGAGTCAATGTGTAGGGGTGAGTGAAAACTCCATCATACCCAATATGTGCAAAGGGGTCTTCTCCTGAGTGACATTTCTGTATTATTGTCTTGTAGTTAGATGCATCCTCCCTGCAGATGTCTTCCATAGATATTATTTCTTGTTTTTGATAGCTGTTTTCCAAGCCTGAAATAACTGGACCCAGCCTTGGGCCAGTCCTCTCTCTTCCTTCCACAGCTCCCCTCCTTGCTCCCACTGGGCAATCATATCTGACTGGAAGAACTGACAGCCTACGGAGACCAGATGAGTGATATTCTCCAGCATTACATCAATGTACAGCTTTCTCTGGGACCTATCCATCAGGGTCCACTCTTCCTGGGTTAAGTCTACAGCTACATCTTTGAAGGTCACAGAGTCTTGTTCTTTAGAGTCTATGAAGGCAGACAGGTCCTGCAGGAGAGCGTGGGACTCCTGAGATGGCTCTTCTGAAGGACAGCCCCAGAGTGATCCCTCTGGCAGCGAGCTCTCCATTCTTAACACCAATTCTCATGGTAGCAGTTCTCTGGATGTTAATCCTGTTTTTCTGCAGTTGCATTCTCAGGAATTCAGCCACCACCTCACCTCCTCTGGATCTCCCCACTCATGGACAGTCCAAGAAGTAAGGAGGAAAAGCTGCGATGGCGGGGAGGCTCCGCTGTCTCTGGGCAGCTCTGCAGGCAGCCAGCATCTGTGCTCGTCTCGAGACTGAACTTTTTGGATGTACACTAATATCTTTGTACATGCATTTTTATCATTGATTTACTTATATCTTTAAATGAATGCTGGGTGCCAATAGAATTGAATGTTTTTAAGGGTATCGATGCCTACCCCACAAGCTGTATATAAGAGTACATTTCTGCCCATACCTCTGACAACATACAGTATTACCAAACATTTGTCCTTTGTCAAAAAGGATGTAAATTACACATTTTCATAATGTATTTTTTCTTTAAAAGACTATCTAAAAAATAAAATAAAATAAAAAAGACTAGAGAGTGAGAAAGAGAGAGAGAGCATGCAAGCAAGTGGGAGAGGGGCAGTGGGGGAAGGAGAGAGAATCTGAAGCAAACTCCACACGCTCAGCATGGAGCCCAAGGCAGGGCTTGATCTCACCATCATGAGATCATGACCTAAGCCGAAACCAAGAGTCTGTCGCTTAACCGACTAAACCATGCAGGCACCCCTATAATGCATCTTTTTACTTTGCTACTGATTTTCAACATTTTCATTTTTGCTGTTGTTGGTTATCTTTTGCATGTAGGAAGTGCCTGTTTATCTCTAACATATTTTCATTTTTATTTTTTATTTATTTGTGATATTTCATGATAAATTAAGAAAATTCTTTGTTAGGTATTTATTTTCCAAATATTTCCTCAATCTGTCATATATATACCGTAGATATATTACATATATCTGTAATATATATGTATGTATGACACTTATATATGAGAGAAAAACATCTATTTTTTAATTTTTGTAGTGAATTTTAATAGAGAGGTTTATGATGACTTTGGCTTCTGGTATTGTTTTTAAAGGACTTACTAATGTCAGTAGTTATACAATTTACCTATATTACCACTACAAAACATCTTTTACATTTAAGATGTAAATCTGGTTGATTATATCAACAACTATATGTTATGTGCTATAGGAGTCAAATTTCCTTTTCTAAGAGGTGAGCCTCCTATCTCCATACTATTAATTGACCAATTGATTATTTTCCTCAGTGATTAGTTCTCAAATAGTAAATTCTTCTCTATAAAAGCCTTATTTCTCTGAGATATAGGGTGCAAAAATTTAAAAATAGCTCAGTAAAACCATTTTCCCCTTATACTTTCCCAATGCTTCCATAACTCCTATCCAGGATTAAGACAGTAGCTGCGAATTCTTTACTGATATGAGAGAATTCTGAGGCTTCTGGGACTCCCTTCTAATTTATCCCTAAAGGGTGATGATTCCAAAAGCCACTATTTGCTTTTTCTAAATTTCTAAATACCTAACTTTCTAATATCCATGTATTATTTCATTTTCATTTTTTAGTATGAATACACAACTCAACTCTAACGAGAAAAAGAGACAGTAGTTTCTTATAGATAGATTTCTATCTGTAGTTTAAAATTTATGCTACTTGGGTAAACCCTAGAACCCAATGAGCACCTCCATATACGTCTTAAACAGGGGGCCAGGTCAGCTAAGCCCTGATCTTGAAGAAGCCATTGACAATAGTACCCTCAGATCTCATTGATGGAAAGTAAAAGGATCCCCAAGTGAGAAATGGAACTATTACAACTAGACTGGGAAAATGGAGGCACAGGTAATTGCTTAGCCATTTCTCTCTCTCTCTCTCTCTCTCTCTCTCTCTCTCTCTCTTTGTAACATCCAAATGATAAAGTATTTCTTTTTCCCTCCCCAAGTTTTAGGTGTAAAGATTTTTAAGTCATATTTAAATTGTAGCTAATTTAGGAAGACTTGAAACTTCTGTGCCTAAATTACTGGATCTAGTTCTGAACCTGTATCTCTGTAGAGGAAGATATGAGTTACCTGGGAACACATCAAACTAAATACACCCGCCTATACACACATGCACACACACTCTATATAATGGAGATCTCCCTATGCCTCCCATTTGCTGTTAAAATCACTACAACATAAGCTCTAGCTTCTAATGGAAGTGGATCAAATTTCTGGGATGTGTTGAGAATCATTTCTTTATTAACCATAAGAGATTGAGAAACACCTTTACATTAACTAGAAGTTTATCATGTAATCATTCAATAAACATTTTTTGAGCAACTACTACCTGTTTAATGCTCAGCCTATATGAATACAACAGGGTGAAGAAGAGGCACAGGATTAAATAAACCAGCAAGTTCAGCATGGAGAGACCAAGGAGAGGTGTAAAACAGAACACAATGGGACTGTGCAGAAAGAATATCAATTCCATCTCAGCCAGTTAGGGAAAGATGTCCAGTGGAATTAGTATCTATGCTGAAATCTAAATGATGAAATAAATTAGGCAAAAAGCAGAAGAAGAAAGTCTCTGGTAGAGGCAAAAGCTTATATTAATGTCCAGAAATGAAAGATTATATCATGTCTGGAGAAATTAAAAAAAAATCCGGAATGACCAGAGCATAGAATTTAAGTCAAAGAAAGGAGGGAGGTATAGAGATAAAAAAAATGAGGTTAAAGAAGCAAATAGGGTGATTATGAGGCACCCACTAAGCCGGTAAATGTGTTTGAATTCTACCAAAAGAGCACAGAAGAGTAAAATGGCTATTTTAAGCAAAGAGCAACCTAAAATTTTCCTTTGGAAAGAAAGCTCTGATTGCAATGTGCAAAACAAGAGAGGAGGGCAAGTCTACACTCATGGGAATGAGTTAATAGGCAAAAATGTTCTGTATTCATTTCTGAGTAAGAGTTCAAATAAGTATTAAGCAACTAGAACTCTCTGGCTAACCATTGATTACCCTGTGAATTATCTAGTTAAAACACAGTGTCTTAATTGTTATACCTAATAATTGCACTGTTTATAATTTAAGTTGTTTATTATCTAAGTTTTAACACGCAGAGAATTGATTAAATTGGGCAACTCCTCTCTTGGATGGAAGCATCACCTTCAATGGAATGCTAACTACCTCTGAGAATTATGTTTAACTCTGACTTTCCTTGCCATAGGCAGAAGTAATTGATTTTAGGCTGGGTGAACTGGTTCTTAAGACATATGCCCACAGGGAGAATGTCATTTTAATAAGATGCTTCTACAAGCCACATCCTACTTAAAATAGAAGGTTTTCCCTTTGCTTTTATAAGCAAAAACTGAAGGAGTCCTGTTTGCCCTTAAGTTCATAGTAAACAACTGTGAAGTGATGCAACCCTGAGTCGGCAGTCTACAAAGTCCCTCTTTGCCAATTCAGCTACCTATGTTTTGTTCTGTTTGTAGCTGAAGCTTTCCCAGGAAAATACATCTATGTTTAACATTCTTGAAAACCACTAATTAGTACAGCTAAATCTGCGTGTATTGGCTCTGCAGCAGTTGTTCTCCTGATTTCCTAATCTATTGTTTTGTTCTGCAACCACCATGGCACAACTAAAATAAAAGTATTCAAATAATTAGAAATTGTGGAGGGGAGATAATAAAATAAACCACTGCACCTCAAGAGATCAAGACAAAAAAATGCAGAGCCTTCAAAAATAGAAAATCATCAGTTCATTGAAACAGTCAAATTTTGATGTTGATTCAGATTTGACCCAATCCTGAGTAGTTCAAGACTACTGAGTTGTAGAGAAAATTGTTTACATGTTTCTTTCAATTCATTATTTATATATCATCTGTTAAAATGTTTAATTTTGGTAAATGTTTTCTAGCTCACATAATACATTAGCATCATGTATATTATATATGATATTAACTATGAATACATCCATGTCATATATGTAGGCCTAAATTATCTATATAACAAAGTTAATTATCATGCAATCAAATTTGTTGCCCATTGTTCTTACATCTAATTTACCAAAATGCCACATAGAGCCTACTTTTAGGCATTTACATAAAATTAAACATTTATATTTAAAAAAAACAGTTACTTTAAACTTTTCAAGTTATGTTTGGTATTATAGTCCTTCAACAATAACTTTCACAAACTTCATCACAAACCACTGGTGGTAACCTGGCTTATTTTATATAATGCACAGATGAACTTTTACAACTATTTTATTAGTTGTGTATTTATTCTAATGTCAGTTAGAAAAATTGCACACAAATGCCACGGACATCAAGGTGTTGGGCTACGAGGACTTGGCTGCCACCCCCAAGGACAAACTATCCTGGACATGGGATAGCCTGACCTCATCATGATCTACAAGCGTCACTATCCCTAATTCCCTCCTGGAACATAGGGAATTACTACTCAGAAGTACTACTCAGTACTCAGAAGCCAAGATCTCGCTGTCACCCAAATCTGCATCTTCCCAACATCCCCAGAGGTGTGGGCAGAGAGCTGGACCTCTGGAACCATCTCCCATGCTTCACCTCAAGAATCACTGGGACCTCCCAGAACACCCTGACCCATTTCCACCATCATCCTACTCAGATTCTAACATGGACAA